GCAGGAATGATGAACACACTAATAAACTAACACACAGTAGGCAGGGGACGTCAGGGAGAACGCAGTGGGATTTCTGCACAGGGAGAGAGCATCCTTGTTCAGACCGGCCCAGAAAGCGGGCATGTGATGGGTTTGCAGGAGAGTTGACAGGTGTTGAAAACTAGTTGTTCTATTGACTGACGTTCCTGCATGCCCTCTTTGCAGTGGCGAGTCTGGAGCAGGGAAAACAGAGACCACCAAGCTCATCCTGCAGTTCCTGGCCACCATCAGCAGCCAGCATTCGTGGATTGAGCAGCAGGTCCTGGAGGCCAACCCCATCCTGGAAGGTATGCAGTCACCCACAGAACCAGCCTCCTTTCCAGGACCTGTGGGCTGGCACCTTCCTGCCAGGGGGTGCCTGTGGGGAAGGGCAGGATAAGCCATACTCTTTTAGCGACTTCTCAGGATTCCTCAGGACACGAAAGGCAAGGATGGGGTGGATGGTAGCATGGGGGCTTCTGGGAAGCACAGAGAAGAAAGACCAATGATCTGGTGAGCTTTCACAGGTGTGATTTCCATGGAACCTTAACAAGTATTCCTTTTTAAAAGGGCTCCAAGGGACTTCCCTGGCGGTCCAGTGGTTAGGACTCTGCGCTCATACTGCAGGGGACGCGGGTTCGATCCCTGGTCAGGGAACTAAGATCCCACGTGTTGCGCAATGCAGCCAAAAACTAAAAAATAAAATAAAAAGGGCTCCAAGATGAAATCAATTTGCGAAATGCTGGGAATGGATTATTGATACATGGAAGGATCCCAAATGCATTCTACCGATAAGAGTAGCCAGATCCTCTATTTTTTTCAATCATGTGTGCAGGTGAGGATGTGTGTGCAAAGGATCTTTCTTAATGCAGTCACATGATAAAACCTTGCAGAAACAGCTCTATGGAATGCACTTTGGATCATGCTGCAGCCCAAATGCCATCTGGTCTAAGCTCCTTATCTGCGCTCTGACCCGTGCCAGCTCTTGCCACTCTCTCTGCGAGCTTGCCCTCTCTAACCCAGCCTCCACCCTACAGCCTGAGCAATCTTTCTAAAATGTAAATCCGCCTCCACACTCCCTCAGAAGGTTTACTCCTTCCCCTGTCACCTGTGGGACTAATGCCAAACTTCTTAGCTTGGCATTCAAGGCTCTGCGCTACTTGGCTCTGCCTGCTAACGGTTCCATCCATCTTCCACTGCTTTCCTCCTGTATCCTATGGTCCAGCCGAATTTCCCTCCCTGGAAGCACACCCCACGCTTTCTGACCTCTGAACCTTTAGCTGCACTTTGCCTTCCTCTTAGCAAACCCTTGGCTGCCACCATCCTTCGAGTCTGGGCTTGGCCACCTCCTCTGAGAAGGCTTCCCAGAGGACCCCAGTAAAAGTAAATTTTCTCTTCTCTGCTCCCATCATGGGCATCATCTGTTGGCCCTCAGCCTTCGGAAATGCCAAGACGATCCGAAACGACAACTCAAGCCGCTTTGGGAAGTACATCGACATCTATTTCAACTCCAGTGGGGTGATTGAGGGGGCGTGCATCGAGCAATTTCTCCTGGAGAAGTCCCGGGTCTGCTGGCAGGTAAGGGCTCCGCCTGCTGCACTGGTCCTGGGGGAACCTCCACCCACCCCAGGATGGGAGTCAGGGGATTGGGGAGGCTTCCAAGAGGGGTCCCTTCCATCATTCTCACCTCTCCTTTCCTCTGCCCCAGACCGCTATAGGCCTTAGCTTGCTGTCATTGAAGCCTGGTCCGAGATGGGCCAAGGACCCTCAGAATTGGATAATGATGGTCCTTCCCCAATATTCAAGGAAATGATTTATTCAAGGATTTTATCTTTCGAATTTTCCATCTGTATAGTTGCCCTCATCCTTTGGTGCTTACTACTCTTCACCTCTACTAGAATTAATTCTGAGGCCAGGCCAGTCCCCGTCTGGGGGTGGATGTATCATCAGGTGTGCTGGGGCCCCTGGCAGGAGGACCTAGATGACACTGTCCAAAAGACCACCTGCAGGAAATGAGGTGGCATGTGGTCTGTGTCATCAACACAGGGCCTTGTACTCGCAGGGGCCTGGTCTCAGTTTGATGCTCTGTTGTTGCCATCTTGAAATTCTTTAGCAAGAAGCCCCATGCTTTCATTTTGCACTGCGACCCACAAATTAAGTAGACAGTCCTGGGTAACAAGGAGCCCAAAGTGTGGCAGCCACATCGGCTGAGTTAACACGGATTTGTTGGGGGTAGGGTGATCTCTCATATGATGGTATAACCCCTAACACGTGTGTGCATGAGCGCACATGTACCACACACACACGATGTTTCAGATTGGGGGCATGCCACCAAAGGGACTGGCGCTGTGTGTTAGGACAGACAGACACCTGGGCAAGCTGAAGAAGGAAGCTCACCTTTAGTGACCCCCACCTGGTGCCAGGTGTTTCCCCTGCATTATCTCATTAGACCTTCACAACAACCATGAGAGACAGGTCTATTTCTCCCCATTGTACAGATGAAGAAACTGAGTCCAAGTAAGTTAAGTAACTTACCCAGGGTCACAGAACTAGCAGAAGGTAGTCTCTCCGATTCCAAAGTTTGCCCTTTCCAGAAGCTTATAATTCTTCGCACGGTGGTTGGTGAATTCAGAGAATTTCTTCCTCAAAGAGGTACCCCAGAATGGACAGGAGACTTCTAAATCAGATCAGAGACAAGTCCTGTCCATGATATGATTAAAAAATTTTTGGCATATCTATACTGTGGAATGCTGGGCCAGTTAAAAGGCTGAGAAGGCGTGTCTGTGTCAGTGTAGACAGACGGCTAAGAGACCCGTTTAGATGAAAAAAAGAGGAAGCTGAAGAACAATATTCTTGCCTTAAAAATAAACTTTTTATAGATATACTCTAAGTAAATACATTAGTGATGTCTAGAAAGGAACACAGACCATCAAACTGTTCTGAGGAGGTCATTTGAGGAGTGGCAAGTTGGGGCGGAAAGAAACTCACCCTTTAACACTCTATACTTGGAATTGTTTGAATTTCACAACGGGGATGTGAAATAAAGTTTAAAAATAATGTTTAGGGCTTCCCTGGTGGCGCAGTGGTTGAAAGTCCGCCTGCCGATGCAGGGGACAGGGGTTCGTGCCCCGGGCCAGGAAGATCCCACACGCCACGGAGCGGCTGGGCCCGTGAGCCGTGGCCGCTGAGCCTGTGCGTCTGGAGCCTGTGCTCCGCAGCGGTAGAGTCCACAGCAGTGAGAGGCCCACGTACCGCAAAAAAACAAACAACAACAACAACAAAAATGCAGAGGCCCAGCTAGGTAAACCTGTGGATGCCAGGTCCTGGGGGTCACAAGGTGAATAGGAAGGCTTCACCGTAGACTGTAAAGAGTCCGGGGTTCTGAGTCAGAGGGCCCGGGTCTGAATCTAGACTCACTGCCTCACCTGTGACTCCGGGCTGCGAGGAGCGGTCAGGATGCAGGGAAGCCCCGAGGAGTGAAGAGTTCCAAGGGCAAGGTGGCCGTTCCGCGCAGAACAGTCAGGGTGAGCTGGCCTTGGAGGAGGACAGCGACCAGGCATGGCCATCCCTCAGGTCAATGCCGGAGCCCTACCTGCTGAGGAAGAAGGAAGCTGGGACAGGGGTGGGGGCAGGAGAGAGTCCTGAGGCCCCACAGCCTCAGGGGAGATGCTTACAAGCTCCCTGGAACTCCCTCCCCACTAGGCCCCGGAGGAGCGGAACTACCACATCTTCTACTGCATGCTCATGGGCATGAGCGCAGAAGAGAAGGAACTGCTGTGCCTGGGCACGCCCTCCGAGTACCACTACCTGACCATGGTGAGGCCCGCGCTGCGCCTTCCCTCCTCGCCCCTCCCCTTCTCGCCCTGCCCCTGCCCTGCCCCGCCTCTCCCCGCCCATTCCAGTCCTGCTTCCTCCCCACGCCTCAGCGCCCGCCCCCCCACCCCTCCGGGCGCTGTGAAGAGGAGACCTGGTGCAGGTTTCTGTTCAACCTTGCTTTCCCTCCCTGCATCTCCCTTCCCCTTCCCCCTCCCCTTCCTACCCCTTCCCTCCTCTCCCTTCCCCGCCTCTCAGTAACAATGAGGCAGAAGGAAGTAGGGCCGGCTCCTGCTCAACCCTTTGTTTACAGCCTCATAAAAGCCCAAACTGTGGTCCGGCCCCTGGGCAGGGACTGAGGACTCCCCTTTTCCATTCTCCACTCCACCCTTCCCGTGTTTGGCATCCACTTTACGGCCATCAGAGGCTTACCCTTGTCCGTGTGCTTCCTTGTTTCCTACTGAACCCATGGTCTCGCCCAAGCCTCATCTTCCTTTGGTCCCTATGGACAGAAGTCTCTGAAACCCTCGTTTCATTCCACTCACCATCCTCGTAGGTGCCGCTGGAACTTGAGCTCCAGGAGAGCAGGGGCCTTGCTCGCTGCATCCCCATGCACGAACAGTGTAGCACAAGGAGCCATCAGGCTCACCTTGCTGCTGAGGGAATGAATGAAATCCACGTCTTGACCCTGTGTCCTGCCTAAGCCCTCTCTCCTGGGTCTCTGCCTGGAGGCCTTTATCATCTCTTGCCTAGACCATGGTGCTAGCTTCCTCCTGGGTGCCCCCCCCCTCCAGACTTGACCCCAATCTATCATCCAGCCCGAGACCTCCCACAGAGCAAGTCTGACAGACCACGTCTCTCATTACAGCTCTTCAGGGGCTCCCTGTGGCTCCTTGGCAAGGTTTCCAAGTCCCTCCAGATCCCACCATCCACCAACCTCTCCCCCTCAACGGCGATGCCAGGCTCCTTGCATTTTCCACCCTTGCCTCCCACCTCACTGCCCAGTTCTGGCCGTTTCTCCCCTGTGCTGCTGTGAAGCTCAGCCTGAGGGACCACTCAGATGCCTCCTCCAGGAAGCCTTTCCCCAGCTCCCAGGAGGCCGGCACAGCCCCCTTTGGTCTCAGCGCCTGTAACAGCCTATGACCCCACCATTCGCTTTGTGCCTCCCCTACTGGATGCAACAGCACCCAGGCCAGGGCCTGGTCTCTCCATTTCTGAATTCCCAACAAATAGCCCAGGGGCTGGCACACAGTGAGCTTAGGAAGGTGTTTGTTAAATGAATGAACCCGTGATGTTCCCCCCTCCCAACTGCCAGAGGGTGAGGCAGGCGTTACCATGGATGGCTGACAAATAGAGGCTCAGAGAAGCCGAATGACTTGGCCGTGGCCACACAGCTGTCAAGCTACCATAGCACGCTGCGTCTGTGTCACCACTGTTCCGCCTCTGTGTATTTTCTTTTTCTTTTTAAAAAGTATTTATGTATTTATTTATTTTTGGGTGATTTGGGTCTTTGTTGCTGTGTGCGGGCTTTCTCTAGTTGTGGCGAGCAGGGGCTACTCTTCATTGCGGTGCGTGGGCTTCTCATTGTGGTGGCTTCTCTTGTCGCAGAGCACGGGCTCTAGATGCACGGGCTTCAGTAGTTGTGGCACGCAGGCTCAGTAGTTGTGGCACACGGGCTTAGCTGCTCTGCGGCACGTGGGATCTTCCCCGACCAGGGCGCGAACCCATGTCCCCCTGCATTGGCAGGTGGATTCTTAACCACTGCGCCACCAGGGAAGCCCTTCTGTGTATTTTTTGAGCTTGGGCCTCCAGGTAGCTCCTTGGGATCCACCCGGAGCCAGTGCAGTATCACTTACCAGGGCCCTTTGGCTGAATCCCTGATGCATCCCTGCCTTGCTGGCCCTACAGTGGAGGAGGAAGGGTGTGGGGCGGCCCCAGAAACCTGATGGGCCCGATCTTGCAGGGGAACTGTACCTCCTGTGAGGGGCTCAATGACGCCAAGGACTATGCCCACGTCCGTTCAGCCATGAAGATCCTCATGTTCTCCGACTCCGAGAACTGGGACCTCAGCAAGCTGCTGGCCGCCATTCTCCACCTGGGGAATGTGGAGTTCATGGGTAATGCTGTTTCCACCCAGAGTACACCCCCTGGGGAGGAAGAATGGGGAGACTGGGACAGAGGAGGAAAAAATCCCCGTGGGTCCTCCCCCAAAGGACCCACCAAAGTCACGGCATCTTGGAAAAGTACATTGAAAATTTTAGCTATGATTTTGGAGGCTTTGTGGGGTTAGGGGGAAGATGCCAAAGCTTAGGGGCCTCCAAAGGTGAAGACTCTGATCAATCACCCCCCACTTTTGGCTAGGAAACCAGAGGGTGAACCAGAGTAAGCAAAGCCGTGCGTGAACTTACAAACCAGTTTATAAGCATCCATTTGGTCTGCGGATTAAGGTGTCCTGGCTTGTTAGTGCCTCCAAGCACCTGACTGACAGAGTTGCTGACAATCCTCTGTGGAAGAAAATAGCATCAACCTAGATCACAAATTATTCCTTTCAAATACAACATCCAGCGTGCCTCCAAAAATAAACAAGAACAAGGAAATGAGATACCATGAGCAAGAATCAGCAGACATGATAGACAATAGAAACAGAGCCACATAGATTTCAGAGACTGGAATTACTGAGCACAGACCACGAAGCAGCTATGCTTGCTTTGTTCAAGAAAAGAAAAAACCAAGCTTGAAAATTTAGACAGGGAACTGGAAACTATAAAAAATTGACATTACAGATTTTAAAAGGAACCACATAGAAATTCTAAAGTAAACAAAAAACCCAAAATGAACTCAATGGATGAGTTTAACGGCAAGTTTTTTAATATATATATATTTTAAATTAATTAATTATTTATTTATTTTTGGCTGCATTGGGTCTTCGTTGTGGTGCACGGGCTTCTTACTGCAGTGGCTTCTCTTGTTGCAGAGCACAGGCTCTAGGCGCGCAGGCTTCAGTAGTTGGGGCACGTGGGCTCAGTAGTTGTGGCGCACGGGCTTAGTTGCTCCACAGCATGTGGGATCTTCCCGGGCCAGGGCTCGAACCTGTGTCCCCTGCATTGGCAGGTGGACTCATAACCGCTGCACCACCAGGGAAGTCCCTAACAGCCAGTTTTATAATGTGAAAAAGGAGGAAATGTCAGAAGAAACTGTGTGTACAGCATGGAGAAATAAAAAGATGGAAAATATAAAAGAGAGAGTAGGAGACCTAGAAGATACAGTGAGAAGATGTATACATTTAATTCGAGTTCTAAAGGAAAAGAGAAGGATGGGGCATACACAACATTTGAAGAGATTATGGCTGGCTTTAGATCTAATGAAAGGCACCAATTCATAGAGCAGTGCAGAAAAGATGGACTTTTCAATAAACTGTTCTAGAGCGATTGGGTATTCATATAGAAAACATGAACTTGAACCACTGTCTCACAGGATATGAGGAAATCTACTCCAGGCAAGTTGTAGCTAGGTGACCATGTAATGAACCAGACGTGGGTGCTGACAAGCAGGGGGCTTCAGGACATGGAAGAGAATCAAATGTGATACTGAAGAAATGAAGCCAAGTGAAAGAACACAGACAATTATAGATCACACTTACACAAAATTTAAAAACAGGTAAAATTAAATGCTACAAAGGAATGCAGGTAGTTAGATGACACACAGGTAAACAGGTAAAATTAAATGCTGTTTAGGGATTCATATGTAGGTAGTAAAAAGATAAAGAGAAAATAGGGAACTGGTTTCCATGGAGGTCAGGAGAATACTGCCTCTTGTGGAGGAACTGGTCTAAGCAGGAAAGGATGTAGGAGGCTCCGGGTGTTAGCGAGGCTCTGGTTTTGGCTTCGGTGGTACTTACACAATGTTGACTTAACAATTATCCGTTATAACATGCCCTTGGATTTTATGCATTTTTAAAAATCTGTATGCTTTATTTTACAATTTTTTAAAGTTTAAAAAAGAAAAAAAAATACAGAAACAGCATTCCTCCCTCCCCCCAACTCAGCAGCCCTAAGGTGGAGGGACTCAAAACGGGGGGACTTGAACTAGGAAGTGGGTCAGGAGACGTGCAACAGAGCTGGGCCCGGCTTCCAGCCACTCCTCCGCTCAGCTCTGTGCTTGTTTGACCAAACGAATGAACACGCCTAGATTTCTGTGGACAGCGGAGTGGGTGGAAGGGGACTGATGGCTGATTTTCTCCCTCAGTAGACCCCACCTGCCCCACCAGCACCTTCTCCCTCCAATAACTTCAAACTCCCCTTTGCATCAGGGTCCCGATCTCAGCAGAAGGGGACATACCCTGTTAACAGTAGTTACAGCTAAGGTGTTGATAGGTCCCCAGGGAGGCCTCAGCTCTCAGAGGGGGCTCTGGGAGAGGCAGTGCTTCCCTCCTGGGGACGGTTGTCTCTAAGGGTGGACGGTTGTCTCTAAGTGGGGCTGCCTTCCTGAGGCCTCTGTCCCATCACTTCAGGCCAATTTGCCTCTCAGGGTCATTGCTTCTCTCTGCAGCTACGGTCTTCGAGAACCTGGACTCCTCTGACGTGATGGAGACGCCCGCCTTTCCCACCGTGATGAAGTTACTGGAGGTGACTGGGCTGTTATGTCCGCCAGCTTCCATTTTCGTGAGGAGTCCCGGGGGTCTGGGCAGACAGCCCTTCGCAGGCTCTAGTTCCTTCCTCCTATCCCTCTCCCAGGCTCTCCGTTCACCCCCTGAGCTCCCTGGTGGAGCGTTGCAGGCCCTGGGGGTGGGAATCAGGGTGGGGCCGTGGAGCTAACCATTAACCAAGTCCTGGAAATGATCAGTTTGGCTTGAATGTGTGTTTCTTCCCTTTTCCCTGACCCTCCTGCTCTTCTGTGGCCTTTACTCAACTTTCCACCCCACCCAGACCCCAGGCTCTCCCCACTCACACGATCTGATGTCCTTACATCCAAAGGTCCCTGCCCTGTGTCCTGGTCCCCAGGGCTTCTCCATGAGTTGTGCTATTCTGGGCCAGTGGAATGTGCTCAGACCATTCACCCTACAGGTTATTAAAGAGACCAAATAGAGCGTTGACTTGGAGGATGAGCGGTGGGGCATTGTAATGTCCTCCACATAACACCCCGCTGGCAAGTCCAGTGGGAAATTAATAGAATCAGAAGGGGAGGGGAAAAAAGCAATCACATTAGGTGGGCATGTTTTGCTGCTAATGTTCTTTATGTGGTTCAGGGTTCTCAGAAACCTTTGGTTTTTGCTGGTTCAGTCTTCCCCGCATGGTGGGAGGGACTCCATCCAGACTCATCTTGCTCCCTTGGGTCTTCAGCCTCCAGGCAGGAGTGACGTCAGTTGGGGCGTATCCAGATGTCAATGGTGGACCCAGCCCCAGGAGACCAGCACAGGACTGGTCAACCAAGCAGCCAGCATGCTCGGGGCCCACCCAGCTTGTGCATCCTTCCCCAACACTGATACCCCAGTGCTCAGACTGACCCTGGACTGGGCCCTGCCCAGCATCCTGACTCTGGCCCTAGTCACAGGCATCTCCTACCCTCAGGCCTTGGGCATAGGGTATTTGGTCATGAGACAAGGTGTTGGCACCAGGCCCTGCTCAGTCAGCTGTGATGCCAGCCCCCACCTGCCTTCCAGGTGAAGGAACAGGCACTCCGAGACTGTCTGATCAAGCACTCCATCATCATCCGTGGGGAGTTTGTCACCAGGCCCCTGAACATCGCTCAGGCTGCAGACCGGAGGGATGCCTTCGTCAAGGTGCAGAGCTGCGGGAAACGGGGCCCACGTGTCAATCTGTTGAGCATGGCTCCTTGCCTTGTGGGTGAACAGCAGGAAACAGCAGAGTTAGCTGGGCAAGTTCCAACTCTGCCGGTAACCTGCCTGGTGACCGTGGGCTGCCTAGTCTCTCCAGGGTGGTTTCTTACCTTAAAGTAGGGATGAACTCCTTGAGTAGGTCCATGAGATCCAGTGTGCCTGCAGCCTTTCCAGGTGAACTGGAAAGGGGCAGCCTTCCTCTTGTACATCAAAGCCTGTGGGCTCTACCCCATGTCTCCGCAGGGCATCTATGGGCACCTCTTCCTGTGGATTCTCAAGAAAATCAACGCCGTAATTTTCACCCCACCTGCCCAGGACCCCAAAAATGTGCGAAGGACCATCGGCCTCCTGGACATATTTGGTTTTGAAAATTTCCAGAAAAACAGGTATGGAGATCAGTGCACCTGCTTTTGGAAAATGGAAGATAAGCTTAGCTCTTCTCTGAGCCAGCTGGAGGGTAGCCATTCCTCCCCCTCTGGGCTAGGAGCAGGACCTCTCACCTCTGCTCACAGACACCAGGGTGAGTCCTTCATCAAGACTATAGCTTTCCTCAGTGAGGTGGTCCATGCGCACCCCCTGGCATCCACAACATGTCTAGAAAATGCCACATAACTAAAAGCATCCCTGAGAGTCAGGCTAAAAGCACCTCAGCATTCATCACCCCTCTTGAGCCATCCACCCTCCTCATGAACTAGAGTGAATCATCACATGTGGTTAGGGTGAAAACGGAAATCAGTAACACTGATGCAACTGCATCTAGGTGGGATATCATACTAGGTAATGGGGTTTGTGGCCCATCACTGACTCTTCAGTTTGGCAGGGGTAAAGTGAGGCAGGACACTTCTGATCCAGTGTCCCAGTCTGGAGGCTAAAGATCTGGAGGCAGGAGGCAGTTCAGAAAAGTAATTCCCAGCTGAGACTGTGATGAAGGCTGGGGGTGGGGGTAGAGAGGGGTGGTGAGGGGAGCCAGTCAGTGGGGCCAGATGAGGACAGGTGCTGCTCTGGGGCATTTTCCGGGGGCCGGAGGACGAGGAAATGAGGACTGGGGACAAGCAAGCAGGAAGCGTCCTACATGCGTGACCTAGCTTACCCAGGTGAGCCTGGTTCATTTAAAGGGATGGGCTGACTGGAGCCTAGAGTTGGTTCTGTTACCGAACTGAATTCAGGTCTGCTCACCCAATGTGCAGCAAAGCCAATCTACTGACACTGGGCTATAGTGAAGGAAAACACAGCGTTTATTGCAGGGTCAGGCAAGGAGAACGGGCAGCTCATGCTCAAAACACAAACTCCTTGATGACTTTCAGGGAAAGTTTTTTAAAGGCAACTTTAGGGGTGAGGGTCATAGGGTACGTGATCAGCTTGTGGACTTTCTTCTGATTGGTTGGTGGTGAGATAATGGGGTGAAGTTTCAGGTAGCTTAATCATCAACCTTCTGGTTCCAACCAGTCTGGGGTCTACATACTTGTGGTTAGTGTGTAGTCACCATCCTCCACCTGGGCAGGAGTCTTAGTTTCTGTAGAAGAACTCAAAGAGATGCCTCAGATTGTTATGTGTACCCCTTGAGGAAGAACTAGGACTCTGTTTTATCACTGCATTATTGTTTCTTGACTGCATTTCCTCACTTCCCTAATTAGTAACTGCTTGAGTCTGCTCTTTGGAACTCAGGGATGGCCTAGGAGACTAAAGCCTTTCTCTACAAACAAGAAACGGGGGACGCAGAGGGGCTTTTGTACCCAGGAGGGTCCCTCAGGGTCCTGCTTGGTTTCGGTTCCAAGTGGAGGCCTCTGGGCGCTATTAGAGGAGCCAAGGGGCTGTCCTGACCTTGGCATGCCCGTGCCTGATGCCCTACCTCCAGCTGAAGTCTGAGAAGGTCCCTTTGTTGCAAGAAGGGGGACCACTTCCAGGGCCCAAAAGTGGGCCCTTGTCTAACACTTGGAAATGAATTGTCCAAGGAGACACATGTGCTGACAAAGAAAGAGACTTTATTGGGAAGAGGTGCCCGGGTGGAGAGCAGCAGGGTAAGGGAACCCAGGAGAACTGCTCTGCCACGTGGCTTGCAGTCTCAGGTTTTATGGTGATGGGGTTAGTTTCCGGGTTGTCTCTGGCCAATCACTCTGACTCAGGGTCCTTCCTGGTGGCACACACATTGCTCAGCCAAGATGGATTCCAGCGAGAAGGATTCTGGGAGGTTGGTAGGACATATGGACTGGTGTCTCGTCTCTCTTTTGACCGAATTCTTCCGGTTGGTGGTAGCTTGTTAGTTCCACGTTCCTTACCAGGACCTCCTGTTTAAGATAACTCATGCAGGGCTTCCCTGGTGGCGCAGTGGTTGGGGGTCCGCCTGCCGATGCAGGGGAC